ATAGGAAGTTCTGTTTCTGCTGAACGCCCTCATAGTTTTTTGTTTTGGCGAGAGAAATTTGGACTAAACATGTTTTTACTGAACGCTAATCATTGGTCATCTCCCCCAAGCCACCTGCTCACCATCTCCTCTGCCAGGACTCCTGCCTGTCCCGATCACTGCACTGCCATTACCCCAACTTAAAAGCAGAGCAGTCCAGGAGCTTTGCAGTGCCCCAACCACACCCCAGACCAACCCACCTCTATCCCACTCAGACCATGGCACAGGAGGCAGAGACTGTAGCTGGCACACACAGTGCTATAAGCCAGTCGGACCATCGCTTCCTCCAATGGGGGGGACCGGGACTGGATTTCACTGGGTCCCCCAGCCTCAGGCCCTGGTGCGGCCACATTGGCCCTGGCCTCAGCCCTGAGCTCATCCCTACACATAAAATATTCACCAATTTAGTTTTTTTAATGTAAACCAAAGGATTGGGTGTGTCCATAAGAGTGGGTCTGTAACACCATCATTGGGATACATTTCCTATCTTAGACTGTGTGGTATGATTTCCTTCTTAAGGCTGGGTTCACACGTCTGCTGTGAGCTAACACACATTGCACTACAACAGGCCATTAATTTGAAAGAATGACACAGCAATGTGCAAACAAAAGGTGCATTTTCACTGAACCCGGCCTTTTTTTTTTTACAATTTGTTTTAACTAAAAAATCAAATAGTTCTAACCCTTGCTGCAAACTTACTTTTAGTTACATGTGATGTGTGTTCATTATACACAATTATTAAACATAAGGATGGAATAAATGCAATTAGATGGGCATTAGAAGGAGACATTTTATTCCTATAGCTTTTTGCAAATGCACATATAATCATATGAGAAGATTGATGTGGAAGTTAATGGTCTGGTGACAGGGTCGTTCTAATTCATTCCATCTCTGCTATGTGTTTCTTCTGCCTAAAATCGCCACATAATGTAACTGTGTTATAGTCAGGACCAGACTGGCCATCAGGCATACCAGGATCTTGCACGGTGGGATGGGCCGAATCAGTGGCAGATCTTGGTGGGAGGGGAGGCAATAGCACCACCCCTAAGAAAATTGCTGCTTCCTCCCTCCGACATCACTGTGCAGGCACTGCCATGCAGCACAATGTCATGCTGTGTGGAAGGTGCTCACCGAGGACCCGCTCCTATGCTCCAGTGGCTGCTGCTGGCAGCTGGAGACGACTCTCCATCCTGGTACCTGGCTGCCAAGAAGAGGTGCTGCTTCTGAGGCTGGTACTGAGGGGAGAAGGTGTCTGAGTGGGTGAAGACTGGTAGAGGGGTGAATACTGGTACAAGGGGGCTAGGTGTGCTGCTGGAGAGGGTAAAGACTGGTATAGGGAGCCTCGTGGGCCTGGAGAGGGTGAAGACTGATACAGGGGGGCTGGACGTGTCTGCCGGAGAGGGTGAAGACTGATACAGGGAGGTTGGGCATGTCTGCTGGAGAGAGGGTGAAGAAGGGTACAGGGAGGCCCTGTAGCTGGTGATATTCTGCATTGCTGTATAATGTATTGCTGGGATTTGTAGTCCTCTATAGATGCTCCTATTCTGCATTGCTGTTCAATATATTGATGGGATTTGTAGTCCTCTGTACAGTGGTGGAACTACCAAGGTCACAGCGGTTACAGCTGCAACCTGGGAATCCAGTTAGTTGATGAAAGTGATGGGCAGATGGAAAGGCACTCACTACATGTAAATAATTGAGGACCGAGTATGTTTACTGTGTTCCCAATCATGAATGAATGGGAAGTGATCTACATCACTTCCTGTTCATTCATGATTGTGGACACAGTAAACACACTATATCCACAAGTTATAAATAGACAAACACTCAGTATAGAGGATTCCTGTTCATTTATTACAGGGGCTGTTATAAAAGGGAAATATCAGAGGTCTGTTTAGACCCCCAATATTTCCCCAAAGCCCCTAAAAGTAAAGAAAAAAAAAATAAAAATATTTAATCAAATATAAAAAAAATTAAAAGGTTTATCAAAAATAAAAATATTTTAAAAAATTTAAATTCCAGCATGACATTTTTATTTTTTCAGTTTTGTTTTGGTTTTAAACATTTCATTTCGGTGCACCTCTAGTACCTAGTCATCTAGGACCCTAATAGAGACACAAAGCAATAAAAACGTGACTGAAGGTCTAACCAGGACCACCAGTGTAGTTAAAACAAAACTTCCCCTAAAAATTTGCTTCGCATTGCTCTTTTGTTTCAGAGGAGATTGCACGTCTTACAGGTTCCTCCTGAACTTTCAATCAGCTCTGTGGCACCAAGTCACTTCTGGTCCAGAATGAAGGCCAGTGTCACCCAGACACTCCCTGCTTGGCCAGGCTCTCAGCAATTCTCCCCCAGTAGCCTTCTGGACTACAGGGTGGGTCATCATAACTCCGTCCGCATAATTTTTGGTATTGCCAGAAGCAGTTCAATAATCCCTCCCACAAGCCCCCCTAGAATCCCACCAACAGGCCAGCCCCCTGGGTGGAAAGGCTCATGGGAAATGTAGCTTACAAAGGGGTATTATGTAATGGTGCGCACCCTAACAAACCTTCCCACTAGCTGCACATGTGAGAGCCTGAAAGGGAAGATTAATGACATCACACCAACGTTAAATGAGATTATTTCAGGAACTCCATTGAAACATTTCTCGTTGTTGCATGGCACTTGCTGGGTACAGTATATTGGGGTGCCTACACTTGAGTCTTATGTTCTTATACTGCTAGATAGACCAAAGATGGCCAGAGCCCGATTACTTCTATATGTTAAAGAAGAACTCCAGGCAAAAATGGTATGAACCCTTGCAGTGGGTCTACCCCCGCACTGCAAGGGTTAAGTGCTCGTTTGTGTATAGGTTAAAAAAAAAAGTTACATTCACCTGATCCTTGGAGCTGGTCGGCTCTTAGACCGGTCCCGGGAGCCTCTCTCCCCCTTCGCTGCAGCGGTCTAAGGTCCCTGAGTCATCACTTTCTATAGACAGTGTATAGGACGTGAGAATGCAGAAGGAAATACCATCGCTGCAGCGGTGGAGGAGACAGGCTGGATGGAGTGCTGTGACAGCCGGTTGGATCTGAGGCTCGGGTGAGTATAACTTCTTTATTTTTTAACCTGAACACAAACAAGTAGTTAACCCTTGCAGATGATTTGATGATCTACAGCCGAGTGATAAACAAAAAAGATACATTTTTTGTAGGGCTGTGGATATTCACAATTAATTCCTCGATTGATCGTTAATTTTTTTGATCGATTACACTTTTTTTGATCGGTACTCACCCCTCCGCCGGCTTCCGGGTCTTTCGTCGTAGATCCGGTGACGTCACGGGCATCGACGTCACCGGACTCCTCCCCCCCTTCCCCAAGTGGCTCCGTCGGCTAACGAAGGGAAGGGGGAGGAGTCCGGTGACGTCTATGTCCGTGACGGCTAACGAAGGGAAGGGGGGAAGAGTCAGGTGACGTCGATGTCCGTGACGTCACCGGACTCCTCCCCCCCTTCCCTTCGTTAGCTGACGGAGCCACAAAGGCGCCATGATTTAAAAGTACACAGAGAGAAAGTACTTAGAACGCATCAGCCGTATCAAATAGGTTCTCAGAAGAGGCACAAAAATGTATTGTTGCCATGTTGCTTCCTGTTACGATGTTATATAAAATAGTTCTGTAATGCTTTTTAAGATTCAGTCCTGTTGCTCTTCAAGCGTGTATAGCCAGCGCAGAAAAAAGGATTTCAAATGACAAAAAAATGGAGTGGATTATTTCATAACCAACTGGCCCTTACACACACAGAAGAGAGCAGCTTCCAGGGGACATTCACCTTTCCATTTTTGCAACCCTCCCCTTTCAATAAAACCTGAACGTGTTAATTTTTTTTAATTTACCTTTTTTAAAATGTCTTTGTGTGGCCCAGTCCCCATTACCATTGTTGCTTAGACAAGAATTCTGTATGTGTGTTATAATTAATCGAAATGAATCGATTAAAAAAAATTTTGATTAATCGAACACGAAAATGTTAATCAGTAACAGCCCTAATTTTTTTATAATAATTAAGGTACTTGAATGTATTTTTAAGATTTAGCGCCTGAGTTTAGTGTCACTTTAAATGTAGGTCTTTTGGACCTGCATTAGATGGGATGAGATCAGCAGTCCTTATTTTTGCTTTATTAAATAATCAAGTTTGTAAGTCAAAACCAGCAGTGTGAAATATTCCCCATCCCAGAGGATAAATGATGCATCTGGATGTCACAAGGGATGGCCATGAAGAGCTCCCCATGGGTGTGGGTCGGGTGCTCTTGCCAGGCATTTGATCTACAGGTGTTGACTTTCCACCAGCATCTTGTTCATTGAGCTGTATTTGAATGAGAGGATAACAGACAAGCCCTACACATGGCTGCTAGGCATTCATATATTTAATACTAGAGAGGGAGATAGAGGGAGACGAGCAGATGAAGTGAGGGATCCTC